TCATTCCCACTGATTATTCAGCTAAGAATAAAGATGAGGCCCAGATTACCATTTCATTGTCCCCATGAGACTGTCACACTGCACACAAGCCAAGCGCAGGCATGGGAGACTGTCAGTCTTACTGTAACTTAGTCATTTTGAGGAGTTCCGTAGCTCTTTCAGTGCCACAGACGTGGTGAATAGAGTAAGGGAAGAGATAGAATGTATAATTTTGGCCTAAAACTAAAAAAACTTGAGTCAGAAAGACAGAATCTTGCAAATTAAGAATCTGAAAAATCCTCTCGTTTTTCTTTCTGTAGGTAGCAGACAAATAGAACTTAGTTTCCTGTGGTTTTATGTATTTTTATTTTATTTTATTTTTCCATAAATCTTCTTAGCACAATAGCCCCAGTTTATAACTGTGACTTCTATGACATCCAACCTAGTGCTTATTGGTTTAGCAGGGTTCTGAAGAATGTTGTACCTGGCATCTTTCTGCTTGTTCTTCAGATGTCTTTTTGCTGCCCGCCTAGTCTTTTTGGAGAACTAAAGGGGTGCTCCAAGGCTAGGAACTATATAGGTTTTTCACCCATGTACACATTCCCCCAAGTATATAGCCTTTTGAGCCACCATGGGAAGACAAGATGGAGGGAAACTCGCTAATAAAAATTCCAAACGCGCTTGCTATGCAGTCGAAGTTCTTGATTATTTGTCATTCTGCATAGGAGGGAAAAAAAATCATTTCAGGTATTTCATACTTAAATTGTAAAGTTGCTTTGGAAATTTAACATGTTGATAGCTTTCTTGGGAGTGGTGGTTGTTTGAGGATATAGGGAACTGTAACTAAGACCTTCCTTCACCCCACCTTAACCTTCTGTCTCATGCTGAAAACCCAAAACCTTTGAATTAGGGAGAAAGTGGTTTTGGAGTTACAGCTCTGGGTGAATGTGTGCAGAGTGGGAGAACAGCATGCTCTGCACGGAGTGAAATAGATGGGCTTCCCTGCTCCCTTCCTTGCCAGCAAGGAATCTTTGACGCTTGCCTGTCTATATCTCTTGCATCTTCTCTTTCAGGAACTGGATTATCAGAAGAGACGGATGCGGGAATCAGGGGACAGGTTTGTTCCCGTCATGAGCGATTTCATCACTGTGGCCAGTTTCAGCTTCTCAGAGTTGGAAGACCTTCTCAACGAGGCTAGAGACAAGGTACAAATACCTTTTGAGGTGTTTGGGGCTTCACTGACTCTGTTAAAAGCCTGAATCAAAATGGAAGCAGCAATTTCAGATGCTGGGACTGTAGTGAAGACTACAGTAGACACTGAAAGTGGTTTGGGCTGAAGTTTCTGACTTTTCCTAATCGGGTATAAAGCACTTTAGAATATTAACAGAAGATTCAATGCTCTTGTCCCCTTCTTGCTAATCTTTCTTAATATTATCCATGTGTGGCGTGGAATTGTGATGGCAATGTCTGTACCAGGATACTACACCATGCTGTGGTGTTGCAGTGACTTAAGCAAGCTCTCAGAGGTCCTTTGGTGATTAGCGATAGTGACCTCATGCTTTTTACCTTCTGCGTATGACTGTGTCCCACCCTGCTCATTCAGCCGGGGACGTTTGTGCTTCTTTCCTTTGAAAATGCACCTCTGGGTATTTTGGTAACCCTGAATACCTGATCTTTCCCAGTTACGCTTCTCTGTTACTGTTTGTATTTCATTGCAAGGATAGAAATCCCAAACACGCGTGGATTGTCTGATGTTCTTGGATCATTCTCACACAGCCAGCACCATGTGCGTGTTACTCTTCAGGTGCTGCTGTGATCATTTTGTCCTTTCACTGTCTGCACCTCCGTTACCAGCTTTGTACAACTAAGGAGGTGCTTGTTCTCTGCTGATGATTGGAGTCTGGCACTAAGCCCTCTGTCTCTCAGCTGAATGAGGAAGAATTTATATGAGAAGATCATAAGCATATGAAAATGTTTAGAGAAGAGCACGGTCTAAAGTAAACTATATGTAATGGCAAATCTGCCCTTGTTGGCTGGCATGTTAAAAGTGCTTGGCTTCATGAAGCAAACCCATTATTTCTCTTGGATTGAATTGTTTCCACTGCTGGTGTCAGTCCTCGCAGCGTTCAGCGACCTATTGCATTATTAATGCAACCTGTACCGTTAGGTTGGTAGGTCTTAGATTTTGAAGGACAGGCAAAATAGAGGCTGAGGATCCGAACACTAAGACTCCTCACTCATCCGGTCGCTCTGCAGTCACGTCATTCTGTAGTTCAAAAGCATTTCCTCGCTGTTGAGATAAGGTTGGTAATACTGACTCGCAGCTGTGAACACCAGGGCTACGGGCTGGCAGACAGAGCTGCCCTGGCAAATGCCAGTGGGGCAGTAGTTGCTATGGCACTCAGAAGGCAAGTCTGAGTAGTCTCACACTTGTTACTGTTATGAGGAAATTTTGTGGAGAATAATGTGCCTAATTTTTTCATTGTTGTATTGTTGCTTGCAAGATTCAAACCGCTTCCGACGTAATAATGTTCGCGCCACTGTGGCTTTATAATCACAAAACCAATATTTTACATTCCGTGCCTCCACTAAATTTACTGAGAAAAGACCAATTTTCCATGGTTTGGGGGCTTCTATTTTATGACCGGGTAAATTTTTCAACTTCATTATAGTTAGGTGCATATTTCTGGAAGCGAGTTCACTCTGTCCTTGGCTTAGACTGCGCGATTTTGGTTTGGTGTTACAGATGATGGTGGTCCTTTCTGGCACACTAGGACAAAAGCCCAAGGCAGATTCTTTACAAGGTCAGTCAGGGGTTAAAAAACAGCAAGTGGTACACACCCAGCACAGCAACACAACTTTTCTTGGTCAATTTCTTGCACGAAAAAGGCCATTCTTTTGCTTTAAAAATAACCAGAGAATCTCCCTACAGACAGACCAATATGTCTGGAAGTTGTTGCATGCTTTTTTAGACATAGCCAACATAAAGCACTCGACATAAAGAGATGTTTTGTTTTAATGACTATAACATGCTTAGGAAACGTTTCTCTACCTTCTCCTCACACACCCTTACTATGTTTAAACACACACCATTCCAACTTCTGCTCGACCTATGGCTTTGGTTCTTCCACTGGCAAAAAGCTGCTTTTGGACTCTTAAAAGGGAACTGTCTGTCCTTACCAATGCTGAGTTATTTCTCATGTTTGCCTCATATTATTTTTCCCTCTCTCATCTTGGTCTTTTTCCTCTTTTTTCTTAAAAAAAAAAAAAAAAAAAAGAAGAAAGGAAAAGGAAAAGAAAGCTGGAAATTTTCAACAAACCAGATGTCTTTGCAAAGCCTATAACATCTTCCAGCCTCAATGGGCTCTCTGTGTTTGTTGAATCACAAGCTTTTTTCTTACCATGGTAACCTACTGTAACTGGCCAATTGAAGGAAGAGAGGGACCAAGACATCTGAAGATCCTGTTCTTTTCTGATTTCTCAAAGCAAAGCAAATTGAAAAAAAAGGTTGTGGGAGAGAGAGGGCTTTTAAAAATATCCTAATGAGCCCAGAAAGAATTGGTCTGGTTCACAGATTTATTAATAATAATGAAGCTCTAGTTTTAACAGCTGGAGTTGCATATCCTTCTAAATATAGATGTAGCTAATTGATTGCCATGAGTTAATCAGAGCCATGTTTCCTCAGCTGGGATTTAAAACAATACATATTATCTTTTCAAACCTGGGAAGTTTTTAGCTTTTTAAAAATGTCTTTGCTATTAGCAAAAGTCATTTCTTTATTCCTTTAAGTTATGGAAACTATCTATTACCAAGGTGTGGTGCTGACCTCTGTAGAGGACATTTTTCACAGACCCATGCAGTACATTTTTTTGGCCTTTTTGCTAAACCAGGACCATTTACAGCTAGTGGCCATGGAGAGGAAGCGATATTTTAAATTTAAAGGACTAAGTTGTCAGATGCAGGCATCCATGTTGGAAGAGGAAGCCTTGTAACTGAACTTATCTTCATGCAGTAAACAGATGGCTTGGTTAAGAACTGATTGAAAACTTAGACCAACTCTTTAAACAGCCTCCCTAGCACAGCTGGTTCTTGTTCTTTCTGTGTTTTTCTCACTTTCAATACCACTTTATAAGGGAATATATAGATTAGATCAAGGGATAATGTTTTCTGCCATTTCCCATAAACTGGAAGGTGGGGGCAGGGGAAAGCGAAATTCTGCCCTGGAATCCTTCACCAGTTTTTACATGTTTGAACGTATGAAAAATGGACTTTTTCACATCAGAAAGAACAGAATGGGTTTGAATTTTGTTTGTGAAAATTTTTCTCTCTATTTCCTGTGGGGAAAGAATGAAAATGCCCAGGCAGAGAACAGTGACCTCTCATGTATGAACTTTATCTTCCTACTTGAAAGAGGTGACATTTGCCCTATAGGAAGCTTTACAACATACTTAAGTGTCGACAGGTATGAACTTAGATCACGAGACTACTTCATAACTGTTCTACTTTGTGCTTGCTTTATAACAAACAAACGTTCCTTAAAACATTTTGGATCTTCCTAGAACAGAGCCAGCTTAGTCAGGCATTGCCATCCCTTTGATGTATGTGAAACTCCAGCCTCTCTATAGAGGTGCAATGGCACCCACTGCCTGGGCAAGGCTGAGGAGGAGGGTTAGGAAAGTGTCCATCCCGTCGCTCTCATGACAGCTCCTCTCAAGCAGGGTGTTCTATTTATCATCATGGAGACTGGAGTTCAGACTCTGCACATGCATTTAATAAGCTTAGCACAAATAGTAACTGTTTTGAAGAACAGAAATGCAGGGAAAGCCAAAATCCGTTGAAGAAAATAGTCATTAATAGCAGAGTGCTATAAAGCACACAGAAATGCTGCAGTCCAAATGCCAGTTACAGGCTGTGCACTTCAGTCACTCATTTTGGTGGACTGGCATCTTCTGTCAGCCACTGGGGCTTATGAATAAGGGAAGGATCAGGACAGAGACTGAAGAAGGCAAGGCCAGGGGTGTTACAAAGGGCCTGGGCAGCCACCGCAGCCTGCTGTGAGAAGCAGCCATTTGGTAAATAAAATACGTACCCTGGTTTACAACTGCAGGTGCTTCAGGGCAGGTTGGAACTTCACATGTCAGAAATGTTTATTGCACCTGTATATCTCAATTTTGGGGCTGCTGTCGCTTTTGAACTCCTGGGATTATCCTATAAGAGCATTTAGGTGCAAGGAGAGCTGGGCCCAGCACTACCTGAAACAGGTCAGGCTTTTTCCATTGTTGGATCTGAATCTGTCCCGTAAAGAGAACAGATGTTTACTCGAATGGCCTTGGTATAGGATTGGAGTCTTCGTAACAGCAAACTCAAGATTACTTGCCTGGGTAAAACAGTTCATGTTGCTGTTCATTTCTGCATTGGCTCCTCCCACAACAGCAAGCAGCACAGACAGCACAAAATTTTTATCATGGCTGTTTTCCTCCTCCTCGTAGAGCCCCGATCCTGCCATTTCCAGAGCTCTTCTGCCACTGTTTAACATTTCGTTGGCAAGCACAGCAGAGAGTGTGCACGCTGCTGCCCCGCTTTCACTCTCCTTGCTAAAATGGCTTTTTAAAATAAACAACTGTCTAAACGATTTGCTTTGGCAAGAGGCTGAATTCAGTGGAAAGTTTGGCAGAGGAAGCGGAGCTGGCACTGAGCTTGTGGACCTGTTATATCATGGAGCCTGGGGGCCCTTATGGTGTGGAAATGAATTTTTTAATGACAAAAAGAGATACCATCCTGTATTACAGTGGAAAGCCTGCTGAAATAGTTTTCCATCTTGCTTTTGCCCATGTCATCTGTCCCCAAATGACTTTGGGAATGAGCAAGTTTCAGCCCTTGTTCCACGATCTTACAGCACATCACAAAATTCAGAGAAGCATTTTGCGTGCTCAAGGACTTAACTGTAGATTTCACAAGTGTGCACGAAAGCAGGTACCGTTCAATGGGGAATCTGCCCATGGAGCTGTCAAGTGATTTGTACAGGGAGACACAAAAGCTGCTGCAGAGTAGAAGAGAGCTCTGGGGTCCCAGAGCCCCTCGGCCTGTGCCGCGCTGCCTCACGAGCAAGGCAGGCAGTGTGGTTTTAGCCACTGTGGCCAGGTAGGATACTGGGCTTCATTCCAGGGTTGGGTAGGCTGCCTCCAGCAGCTTGCTGCCCCTTGTC